TCTGGCTTCAGGAATATAAACGACGGATCCACTGTTGCTGTATCGGACGCATCGTCTGATAAATTCGCCACTGTGGCGGGCTTATTATCCAATGATGAGCGATTTGCAGAGGCATTGCTTGAGTACGAGCTATTGGAGCGTCGGCGCATTATCATGGATTCCTCACTGGCACGCTGCTTGTATACATAATCCCAGGAGTCGGATGGACGTGGCTTTGCTGCCTTTGTGAAGACGGCTTCAACGGCAGCTGAGTTATTGCCCGTCTCTTTTCGCTTTCCGGCTTTAGGTGGGGTTTCCTTTTTAGTGGGCGTGGGAGTGCTCGTAGGTTCGACTGCAGTTGCAGCTGCATTTGCTGCTTTTTGTAGCTGCAAAGGAATGTTTTAAAATACTAAATAAACTTGTACAATTTCTGTAGCTTACTCTGCCAGTCAGTGTTAGCGATCGCTTGCGCATCAGCGGTTTGTTGGCCGACTCGCCGCCGCTTAGCTCTCGCTGCTCACGCTCTACTGCTTGCATCATATTGGCGGCGCCCTCATCGCCCATCAGTCGATCAATTTCGCTCACTTTCTTCTTCTTGGCCTGGCTGCCTGCCCCATTAGGCACATTCGGTGTTTGTGAGCGACGTTTGGATGGCGAAGCGACATTCGATTCGGCCAATTTGGCGGGTGTGACAGAACGTTTAGCAGACACCTTCGGCGGCTCTTTCGGTGTTAAAGGTCGTGCCTTTTTTGACACGACTTCTGTATTGCTTGCTTTAGCACTCGCTGCTGTTGTTGTACTTATAGTTGTTACGGTTGATATAGTTGTTTGTACATTTGTTGTTGCATTCGGATTGGGCTTTGGACTTGCATACTGCGCAAAGGACTTTTGCGTTTCAGGCACATCTGGATCCCATATAATTTTGCGTTTTATAATACGAGTTCTCTTGAAACCTAGAAACATTATATTCGATTAATTGCCATAACCTTTTTATATAGAACTCTTACCTGTGGTTTCCAAATTGTTGATGGGCTGCTCAGCAGGGGGTTTTGGCTTTTCCAGGCCTCTTGGTTGAACGGATTTCAGCATTACCTTTACACTGCCCAGCATATGTGGCACCTCTATTGTTGATTTGGCCTTCTTGACGAGCGGCTTCTTTGAGGCAGGCATTTCGTTGGTAACTGCATTGGAGTTGGATGCTGTTTCGCTGCTACTATCATACTCGTTCCAATCATCATTCAGCGAACTGATTATATCTTGGGGCTTTTGCTGCTGCTGCTCTTTTTGCTTGTTGTTCGCCAACTCTTTGCGACGCATTTTATTAGCCTTCAGATCGGCCATTTGCTCCAGTGCCACAGCTCTGGCTTGCTCCGGAGAAAGTTTAGTCTTACCCACAGCAAATTTGGAGTTGGGTTTCAAGGCACTTGCACTGCTTTTTGTAGTTAACAACAACTCAGGACTGGGCCCACTAACATTGTCTCCATCATCGATTTCCATGATCTCATATTGCCCCTCACCCTCGATTGTAACACCAACATTATCCAGTTCAGCTAACGCCACCTCAATGCTGGCCTTTTTTGGCTTATCTGTTTGCTCTTGCTCCTGCTCCTGATCGGTACCCTTTAGCAGAGCAATCAGATCAACTTCCTCCAATGTCGTTGCTGGCTCTGACTCCTCGTTGGCATGCTCCTTGATAACAGGAGTGCAATGTTTAGCCTTTCCTAGATCATCTTTGAGTTGACCATCTTGGCTGCTCCCGCTTCCATTTTCTGATTTGCTGCCCGCTTCAACGTTCCCTTCTGCCTTCTTCTCATCATCTTGGCCTGATTCTGTGCAATGCTGTATGTTGTGCATTTTAGCTATTTCCTGCTCCAATGAGTTCAACTCATCAAGCTTATCAGCTTTTACCCCAACATCGTCACTCAAAATTTTCTTTTCCTCATGTTTGGATTCCAATGCGACCGCTTTTTCTTCTTTTGCTTCTTCTTCCTTTACTATGCTGTTTGTTTCTGATGCTTCTGCCACATTTTGCTTCTGCTGGACATCTACATCTGTGTCATTAACTTCGGCCATATCCCAAGTGCTGTAATTTATCTGTTAATTTAGTTACGTTTTTAAATTCCTATGCACTTGACCAATTTTTTAATATTCTCCGTTTTTCATGCACTTGCTGCAACAGCGGCCATTTTATAGTGATGAATTTACTATTAACAAATATATCCGATATGCAGGAAATATATCGGAAAATTTGGTCACCCTTTGAAAGATACGTTGAAATACTAGCAGTGAAATAATGATATCGATAGTTGACAGCGATGATTTTGACAGCTCTAGTCGCTACCCCCCACACCACTCCGATGAATACTTTATAGAAAAAAATCTCATCTGCAGCCAGGATAAATGCTGATTGATAAGAGGGGTAAATTTGTTTATTTTCACGCGCTGTTTAAATAAGAAAAGACACATAGACAGCATCAACTGAGCAGCAATTGTTTAAGCATTAGCGACAAACACTACAACCCGCTCGATCGTGGCGGCGACAACAGTAACAACAACAACAACAACAGCCAAAAGCTAAACGGCAAAATATACAAAAATTGTGTCCCAAATTTTTGCTGGCAAGACGGACGAAAGGATGTGGGACTCCTCAATGTTCTTGAGCACATTGACGCCCAAGTTTTATGTGGCACTAACTGGCACTTCTAGCCTTATATCAGGGCTAATACTTATTTTCGAATGGTGGTATTTTCGCAAATACGGCACCTCGTTCATAGGTAAGTTTTTCTTGTTCTTTCTTCTTCTTTAAATTGTAGAATTTTTGCATAAATTTGAAAATTTGTTGTCTTTCAGAGCAAGTATCGATCAATCACATTAGCCCCTGGATTAATGGCAATGATGCGCAATCGGATAATGGCAGCAGCAGCAGCAGCAGTGGTTCCAGCAGCAGCAGCAATGGTGGCTGTGGCTCAAATGGTGGAGCAGGTGGTGCGGGTGCCAATTCCAATTCGGGCAACAGCTCGGGCACACCTGAGTGTAAAGTGTGGCGCAATCCATTGAATCTCTTCCGTGGCGCTGAGTACCAACGCTTCTTTTGGGCCACCAGCAAGGAGCCATTGACCTACTATGATATGAATCTGAGTGCCCAGGATCATCAAACGTTCTTCACTTGCGAGGGCGATGCTGGCAAAGAGGAGTATGAAATCATGCAAACAGCGTGGCGTGAACGCAATCCCATGCAGCGCATCAAGTCGGCACATAATGCGCTTGAAATTAATGCGGAATGTGCACCTGCCTACATACTCCTAGCCGAGGAGGAGGCTATGACCATATTGGAGGCGGAGAAGATACTCAAGACAGCACTCAAAGTAGCCGAAATTAATTATAGGAAGTCGCAGGCGACACAGCACCAGGGCTCCATAGCGGATGGCGTCCATCGCAGGGATACGAATGTGTTGATCTACATCAAGCGTCGCCTGGCCATGTGTGCCCGGAAACTCGGCAAACTGAAGGAGGCGGCCAAAATGTTTCGCGATCTAACAAAGGAGATACCCTCGATCATGAGTGTGCTGAACATACATGAGAACTTGATTGAGACACTGCTCGAGATGCAGGCATACGCCGATTGCCAAACGATCCTTGCCAAGTACGATGATATTTCGCTGCCCAAATCGGCGACAATTTGTTATACAGCCGCATTGCTTAAGGCGCGCGCCGTTGCTGATAAATTCTCACCCGATATTGCATCGAAGCGTGGCCTGAGTCCGGCTGAGATGAGCGCCGTTGAAGCCATACATCGTGCGGTTGAATTCAATCCGCATGTGCCCAAATATTTGCTGGAGACAAAGCCATTGATACTGCCGCCGGAGCATATATTGAAGCGTGGCGACTCGGAAGCCTTGGCGTATGCGTTCTTCCATTTGAAGCACTGGAAACAAGTGGAGGGGGCATTGAATCTGTTGCATTGCACCTGGGAGGGCACATTCCGTATGCTGCCGCATCCATTGGAGCGCGGACATCTCTTCTATCCATATCCGACGTGCACCGAGTGCGCCGATCGTGAGCTGCTGCCGGCCTTCCATGAGGTCTCCGTCTACCCGAAAAAGGAATTACCCTTCTTCATCCTATTCACGGCTGGTCTCTGCTCATTCACGGCTCTATTAGCCCTGCTCACGCACCAGTATCCGGAGCCAATGGGGCTGCTGGCACAGACCGTACTTACCTGGATATTGTATCCGATACAGTTGCTCAAGGAGCGCATCGAGGCATTTTGGCCGTGCAATTTGCTCCAGCAATTGTCGCGTGTTTAATTTAGCTAAAACGAATGCCACAACGCACACACACACACACACACACACACACACGCTCTCTCGACACTTACACACAGACACACTTACACTTACACCGACAACACACACATCCCACTCAAAATAAAATAGGGCATCACAAGGATTAGGCATCCAAAGTTTTACCCCAAAACAAATTAAGTCAACTACAAAAACAAAAACATGCATATACATACTTATAAACATATATATATATATATATATATATATATATATATA